GAGAGATCCAGATACTTTAAGGAACTTATCTGAAGCTCCTCTGCCAATCTTATCTTTATTTTAGATCATGAATCAGCAACATGTAGCTCAAAAGCATCTCCCTTTGTCCCCAGTCAGGATGTTCTGGGTCCTCAAAATAATTAAAGATTAAGTTAAAATGCCTTTTTAAAAGGCTGACATAATTTTCTTATCTCAGGATGATTTGAAAAGGTTCTCCTGTCCTTCCATCAGGATAGACAGACCAGATAGAAAAACACTTCATTCAAAGACTAGAACTCTACTTTACTGAGAGCAATGATATAACCTTGCTGGTTTCTTTGCCCTTCACCTCCCTCCTACAACCCAGAAAATCAGGGAAGAGGCTAATCTACGTCCCTTTGCAACACTCCCTCACTTCCCTGGACTTAATGTATATTTCTTCCACACTTGGTTTCCCCAATGGCCTCTGAGTTTCTTTTCTAAGATCAACTTTATAATTCTCTACACCTCCCATTCTCACTTTAACCATTGGGTTAAATGATTCCAAGAGAGAACACTCGTCGTAGCAGACCAAGTGCCACTGGCACTGTAATTATTTTGATAGCATGTTAAAGTAATCCTTTATTTGCCCAGACACTTTAAATAGGGAGGCTGTTATGCTATTTTATTGTCTTGCATTATTTTTATCTTTAAATTGCATGTCTATGGAGTAGCATTCTGAAATCCCACAGGGTAATGAATGATTTAGAAAAAAACACACCAAAGAGCTGTTAGGCTACTAAAAGTGCCATTTCTGAAAGAATATTGAACAATCACATCTAAGTGAAGGGGGAAAAAAAAGAAACTAAAGAAATCCATGTGTCTTTCTCAGCCTTACCACATCCAGTAAAAGATGCAATTTACCAAAATCTAAACTTCACCCAAATTTAAAAAAAAAACCTGTGTCCATGATTTATCTTCTTTTAAAGGTTTCAGGGACATTTTTGTTTGTTTTTAATCATCAAGCAGTCCCTCTGAATATATGCTAAGCATATAAGTACTATATTGAGAGAAGACAGGTCTCTAACTACAACCCAGTTTGGAGCATGTCTCCAAATGTTCAGTAGTTCTGTTGGGAAACCACTGTTTCTTCCTCCCTGTGGAGTGAATGATGAGACTCTAATTGCCAGTTGTATTCTGAACAATAGTAAATACCAGGCCTTAGCTTGACCGACAGTCTCTGCAAAAGAAGCAGACAAGCCCAGCTGGGAAACATTAGAGAGAAACTTTCACTTCTTATTTAAGAACTGAATTTATAACCTGGTTTTGTTTAACATTATACAGATGCATGTTTAGTAAATCCAGCTGTGGTTTATTGGATGTAGCCAATGATTTTTTAAAAACTTTTTGAGAATAGCTAAATTAGCCCTGGATTCTATTAAAATGCATTTTTACTGCCTAGATTAAGCTTTAATTGTGTTTCATGTTCGCGCAGACCTTTCCCTTTTATATGGACAACTGGAGTGATTAACAATAACATGCCAGAACAAATGCAATAATATCCAAAACAACAAATCAAACAATCAGAAATGTTACCCGAGACCAATGCTGCAATAGTCCATGCTGATAGGAATTGTCCTTTTTCCCATGTTGATAATCTACCTTTCTCTCTTTTATTTCAAGAAAACAGAAGCAATGGGAGCAGTATTTTAGATCACCATAATAGAGATGATGTAACAGAAATAACAGAAGACCAATAAATTAAAAGCTATGAAACTTGGTAAGTGGTTCATTTGCTTAGATTAATAGTTGGAGATGATAGAAGTCTTCTTAAAGAAGAATCAACAATTAATGGCCCTTTACTTCACTACTTCCAACTTCCAATTCTAGTCAGTACGGCCACTGTCAAAAAAAATGAGAGTTGTCCTGAAGCAAGATCTATATAATTCTAAAAAAGTTCTGCTAAGGTTTTTGTATTAGAAACCCAGAAGAGGACAACTATGACCCACCCTAGAATATCTCATTCGACTTCATTATGTGATGTTGGATCAAGCATTTAGAGAAACCATTTATTTTGTGCTCATTTATTTTTTGCATATTTGGAAATAAATGGGGAAATGAATCAGTCTGATTCCTCGAAAATGGCTTAGAGTAGCATTGGCTTATAACTAGTGACTAGAAAACATGGAAATAATTCACCACAGCTGAAGAAAACTGAATTCTCCAGCGGGGAATTCAGCATATCGCCTAACAACTGTGCTAGTTCACAGCATTCAATGTTCCTAAAATTTAACTAGATGTTGGGACAGATGAAATAGAGCTCCAACTGTGCAAAAGTTCATCTGAGGTTTAAACCCTACTCAAATTTAGGGGGATTGCTGGGGTCTATAAAAATTACACTCTGAACCACTAGCACTTTCATATCTCTTCTACCACAGGTTTGGGCCTGATCCCACAGAGACAGATTTCCTGGTTCCCTGGAAAACTAGCATAGAAAATTACTCAGTTCTCTGAATAGAATAGAATAGAATAGAATAGAATAGAATAGAATAGAATAGAATAGAATAGAATACTTTTATTGGCCAAGTGTGACTGGACACCCAAGGAATTTGTCTTGGTGTAAAACAATATCAAAATCATAATTTCTCGCTTGGTCTTCATATTTGAGAGGACATTTTGTCATTGATATTTGCCAGTCTTGGCAATAAAGAAGCCAGGAGAACTGGCAGTGGATATGAATCTTCCATACCTACAAATATTGAAGATAATTTTGCCTTGAATTTACTGGCTCAAGATGTCGTATTAGTACATTGTTATTTTCTTAACACTTTAGAAGTAAGAAGTAATTAAAGTTCTTAATGTCTTATTTCAAGTTAAAAAGAAAGCTGATATTAATCTAGAGAAATCCATGCCATGATTTTTAAAAATCATATTCTACAGTAACTGTGCTTTCCACCGCAAGCATAAACCATTGGGTCAAAAATGATTATATATAAATGGCTCTGATTAAGAGTGGAACCGGGTAAAACTAATTCAGGGTTGGGAGAGCATAGCTAAAATCTGCTGGTCCTACCAGCTGTTCATTTAAAGAAATCTAGGCTGATGCTATGAAAAGATAAATATATTTATATGGATGAACAGACCGTCCTTAAACTAAATGCGTATTTTGGCTAGCTTACAAAAACATCACCTGTTAGCTTAGCTGATAATGATTCCAAAGGACAACAGCAATCTAAACCCAAAGGGCTTAATCATATGCTACATATCCAAAAAATAAATTGAAATAGTATTTTAAGATGTATGGAGGGGAGATACATTCTTGTATGTCATTCAGAGAAATGTAAAAAATGCAGAGATAATCTTCTTTTATGCCGATTCACAGACTGTATCATAGAATGCAGTTTTTATCAATGGCATCCTATGCTTCACTACACCTTCCCAACAATCTTCTGAGAAAAGTTAGGAAAATTATGATTTCTCAACGATACCACTTAAAATTGGTAGTTTTCTGTACCAAGAGAATATGTGCAATAAATTACTGGATGGTGGAAAGGAAAAAGAAATGGAGAGTAGGCGAGATCAACCATTTGGCAGATCTGCAGAGCCAAACAAATTATATTGAACTCATAGTATACAGCCCCCAATTACTTTTTATTAATTTCAAACTAAACAGATGAAGACTTGGAATAAAAGTGAAAACATTGCTGGGGGTTGAAATTCAACTTGGAATTCAAGAGGAGTTGGACTTGGTTTGTTTGTGGCTATGTAAAGACTCTAAGCTGATTTCTCTTTTGACTCCACCTGCAGATTCTGCCAGTCCTCCTACACACATTTTACTCAGTATAAAAACCCCAAAATCTTTTCTATTTAATCTTTTTTTTCAACTGCAAAGAAAACTTCAATCCTAATGGAGAAAATCCTTACTTTTAACTGACATACAAGAAGAAAATAGCTAGAACATGATTTATTTATATTTTTAATTTAAAAGATTTATAAAGATGACCCTCTCACAGCTTGTGACTCAAGGCAGTGTAAAAAACAAATAAACAACAACAACAAAAAGGAATAAATACAATGCAAAAAAATCTCAAACCCAAAACATATAACTGAGGCTGATGGTAAAAATATGCACAGGTACCACAAAATGTGTTCAAGTGTGACCTTAGCCTAATGATCAGGAGAAAAGACAGATCTTTACACTCAACAGAAGGCCAATAGGATTGCTATGTCCAAACATATTAAAGGTGAATTTCCTATACTGTATTTGCGAATGTATTGCCCTTGGGTGCCATGATTCCTGCGATATCTGTATAGGGTTCTGTGGATCCCCAACTTACCTTTTTAAAAATGATTAACAACTTACAAAATCTGCCCAATCCCACAAATTGTTGGCCTTCTTCCATACGTTCTTGTTTGGTTTCAGGTAAAAATGTGGTATCATGAGATTATTGCAACAAGATTTACAAGATTTCAACCCATTGCAGAGAAAAATAATGAAGATAGCCAATAGTGAGAATGAGCAAGGGTTTGTCCATACAAGCTATACAACATTGCCATCTTTGTTTTTCCCCAATTAGAGATCAGAGGTTTACTCATATACCTCTGGAGGAAGAAAGAGATAAAATACTATAGGTTGACCCAAATACTATGAGGAATCTTTTGCAGGTTAGTATATATACATCTTACTCTAAGTCACATAAGGTTATTCAAGCCCAAGATATTTTTTGCTTGATGCAAAGGACAACTGGTTTGAGCAACAGGCAATTGTAAATGCTCAGATTCTTCTTAATTTTCCTTGAATTTTAAAAGAGTTTTGTCACCAAAGACAATGGGAAAGATGTCTTCTTTAATTAAAGTTTCTAGAATGAACAACAGTTGACTATATTAAATGGATATGGCATTAATACCTTGTTTGCCCTGTTAATTCTGCTTTTTAATTTAATGCACTCTTAAAGCATAAAGTTAGATTATTTCTAAGTTAACAAGCAAGCAACGTTCACAAGATACAATGGGTGCTAGCTGCAATGTAACCTGTGACTTACCTTTTCATTCCATTTGTTGAATGACCTTTCCTTTTTATCTGAGAACATCTGCATTCTGAAACAACTTTCTGACTTATCTTTTTTCAAACCACCGCCAACTCTAAGGAGCTTATAAGGAGCTTCTTTCCTGCATATTGGATCAGTGAGCGTAGAAGTCTTTAATTCCCCTTCCAAAGAATGGATATGTTGCTGAACTTCTAGGATCACTTGTTCAACTTCTTCGAATGGTTCTTTATGTTGTTCGGCATTCTTCATCATTTCGGAGAACTTCTTTTTGACGTCTGTGCATACCAGCTTCATATCAGAACTCATTAACTTTTTGGATGTGGCAGCCAGTGGCGTCTTGTCAGTTTCTTCCATTTTCCTTCAAGAGTTCAATATTCCTTTCCATAAATCAGATTTCTTGGGAAGCACAATCTAACCTCTCCAGAACGTTGTCAGCAATGCATAAATTTCCTGATTGAAGGAAGCTGCCTTTAGGTTTAACATACAGCTATTTTCAGACAGCAGAAATGTTTGTGCTTGATAAAAAGGGTCCCTCTTCATGAGACATGTTGATTTGTAAAGCATTAGGATCAAAAAAAAATTGGCCTAGGATTTTACTACTGATGAAGAAGATTTCTTTCTGCTGGTGGTAGACATAACTATTTATATCAAGGCATAGAAGCTAAATGAAAACAACAGCCTCCAGAAGTTTTCTAAAAGACAGGCACCCAATGTAATAGATCAAGTCCAATCTATTAAAAGAGGATGCCATGACTTGGACAGACAATCTGAGTTCTTATGAAAAACACTTATTTCTTTTTTTTAATATTCCTGAGAGAGTATTGCAATGTTCAGGCAGACATTTGCCAAGCATCCTAACCTAAGCACACTTGCAGTCACTGATCATCAGTTATTGGGGAAGTCAGAAGAACTATTTGTACTTGTGGAATCTGACTTCACAAAGGCTGTTAGACATCCGAGAAGGGAAGGACACTTTAGCAACTATTTATGGACAATATGCGCCTAGTATCCAGCTTGATCAGTGATATGAGCCGAATGAGCACTCCTATAGGAGAAGCTATATTTGGGTGCTTGACATTTTTACAGCTTAATACTAATTGTTTCAAGTGCCAGCTGCTTTACCAAAAAAAAAAAAAAAATCGTTGGCATGCAGAGAATTTATTTCAAAGCCTGTTGTAACACAAATAGTTCCTAAAATTTAGAAACTGTTTGCATACAAGCTGAACAAGAGATCCCTTTCTCCACACACTGCTATTTATTCTTTTACTTATTTTATAGCCTGCCTGCTCAAGGCATCTAACAAAACAGGAACTGTACAATGGAATTGTATCATATCCAGTAGGTCCTGGTTATGACAAATATTATGAGTAAATACCAGTCATTGTAACTATGAGGAAAAATGGTTGTAAGTGTGAAAAACGGTCATAAGTCACTTTTTTTCATTGCTGCTGTGACCTCAAACAGTCACTAAATGAACTATTGTAAGTTGAGGGCTAGCTGTAAAAGTAGAAGACAATTAGCTTCTAATTTCAAAACAGATGTAATTTGATTGAAAAGCAAATAAACAGTTACTTATTTTGTCCTATAACTTAATTTTGGAAAAAGCCCCAAATGTGGACTTTTTTGTAACTTCACAAAATTGCAAGGTTGGAGCTCTTTAGACATTTCTTTGTTCTTCGGTAGAAAGATCCAGAACTTTGAACGGAGTATCTAATGCCCTTCCAGATGTCTGAAACAACTGGTGAGAGATGCCAAAAATGCAATATAAAATAAAGAGTCTTGGGGAGGAAATAAAAGTAAAGTAAGAGTTAAGAATTTAAAGTCTTGGTAGGAGATAAATTAAAAAAAACAAACATACTTCTCGTCAACTTCAGACAAATGTATTTCAAGGTCATAAAGCAGAGGTTTCCAAACTCCGAGCTATGCTGGCTGAGGAATTCTAGAAGTTGAAGTCCACAAGTCTTTAAGTTGCCATGTTTGGGGACCCCTGTCATAAAGCAACCTTAACAAGGACATAAGATTGTTACATAATTTCAGCTGAAATGTCAGAATTAGCCCAAATAGGTACATTGGTTTTTTGTTTTGTTTTTTCATATGGGATGGTCCATTCCACCCTGTATTGAAACAATTGTTAGGAAATCAAGTGAAGCCGTGGTATCAGAACTTGGATCTGCTATCATTTTTATGGGCGTATGCTAGAAAGGAAACATTTCATGGCTGAATGTACCCAACGTTGGCAAGAGGAACTATTTGTGTGTGAATATAACTGCCAAATGTAGCCATATAAAAATCACTCTGTGCCTTCATGAAAACAGAATCTCTTTTGACTGTAAATTGATGATACCAAAATTAATAATTTTGGAAATAGCACTGAGCACTGAAACTTATATAACACTTCATGGTGCTCTACAGCTCCATCCAAGTGGTTTACAGAGTTAGCATATTGCCGACAACAATCTGGGTCCTCAGATTTAAAAACTATAGAAATAGCCTTTGATACCTCATTTTTGATTAATTCGCTGATTCCACCAGTTTCCACTATAAACAGCCATTCTAAAATGGAATGTCCTCACTTACTGGCCACACATTCGGTGACTGTTTAAAGTTATGACAACACTCAAAAATGAGAGTTATGACTGCTCCTCAGAGTTACAGCCATTGCAATATTGTTCGCTGTCATGTAATCACCACTTGCGACTTTCATAGCCGGTTTCTAACAAGGAAAGTCAATGGGGAAGACAGCAGCAAATCACAAGTTGTGGTCACATGATTTCATTCTTAATGACCTCATCACTTGGCCTCAGAGTTGTTGGTCCCTATTGCAGTTGGCAAGTGAAGGCTACTTGCAGTTATATCCTAGTTTCAGAAACAAATGGTTTGCAAACTTCCCAGGCAAAAACTAAAGTGTTTTGTTTATAAAATAGAGCAATGGTCTTTTTAAAAAAAAATTCCAAATGCAATTACATCCTGACTTTTATTTAAAAGAAAGTATTTGAGGCAGAATACTATAATTTGAAAAAAAAAAGTGCTACAATCATAAGCCTGGTCAGGTCTTCCCTCCAAAACTGCTTGTTCTGTTTTCTATTTTTTTTTCAAAATATGTAAAAAGTTATCAAGCATTTCTTACATCAGCACTCTGAGCTTCCAAATTTTTTCCCCATTGAGTATCAATAGGAAACAAGAGGTCTGAAACCCTATGTTATAACTACACTGCATTTACAAGACAGACAATTTACTGGATCAGTACCGGTTGATATCGTCATGCATAGTTGTTGTTTTTTAAATAAAGTTCCAAAAAAACCTCCTATTCCTTAGTGTTGTATAAAAAAAATAGCCGAACCATGACCCTGGAGTAAGACCTTTTTGTATAGACACCTGACAACTTTAATACACAAATTCAGTTTGGCAGCTGAACACTGGATTGAACTGTTACTGCCAGCGAAAATGATACTGTCAGCTAAATCCTTTTGATACCTGGGCATTTGCAGCAAAGCACCAGGACTAGTGTTTGTACTATCTCCTAAACAATGTAATTCTATAAAACCTCTCTAGTTTTCCTCTCCAAGATATTTGTATGACTGATATCAGTGAGAAAGGGTCATTTGAAATGCAGTCATCACCATACATCTACATTTCTGAATACCTGAGACCAGGTTCATCATTGACTATAAAGAAGACTTAAGAATAACCAAGATGCCTCTAAGAAGTGCATCTATTAATGAGCAGTGGTGGACAACAGCAAAATATGGGCTCTGTCCATGAGCTTGAAATCAATATCCAAGTTTCCAAATCAGGACACAACTTGAAGATAGAGGCATATTTCTCTTAGTGATATAAACATGTGATGTATAGCATCTTTGAGGGGTGGGGGGAAGAACTTCATGTTATCTTAATGTTACAGAGCACATGGCATCAATTGTGATTTTTAAACCATGCATAAAACCGGAATCCCTAATGTGGCTATGAAAGTTTCAGCATTCTAGAAAGCCTCCGAGGACTTAACATGGGAGCCTGGGAGGCAATTTACAGGCCACAAAGTATTAGCAATCCATTCTATAATAATTTTAAATCAACTTATGCTGCCAACATAATTCAGCTGCCTGCTTCCTCACGCACCTGATGAGTTGTAGCCCACATATATATTGCCTGGGCAAAACAACTGGAATCATACTGATGAAGCAACTAGATGGAGCATGCGGTCAAGAACCATGGTCCCCATCTTATAAAGCTTTAAGGAAACTGTAATTCTCAACGTTTAGATGAGCTCAAGCATTTATTACAGTAACACATTCAGAATCTAGGTATTTTACTTTGTGGAAAACAAGCTAAATAGCTGTCAGAAGACAGGCCCTACCTGAAAAGTACCACATCTAGGCCTAACTGAATCATGAGGAGAAGAAGAAACCTAGAGTTGCTCATTATTAAAGATTATCTAAAATAAGACTTAGCAATGGACAATTTACTGGTTACCTCCTTCCATGGGAGGGAGAGATTTGTTGCATTCCTGTATATTACCTTAATTAGCCCATGTGGTTTCATAAATTACCCTGTTTCTCCAACAGTATGGCCTCCCCCAATAGGAAGTTCCAGCATGTTTTATAGGCATGAAATGAAATTAAGTCCCTCCCCCCAAATTAAGGCCTATATTAAAACATGCGAAATGGGGGGCAATGGTGGGGGGGCTTGCCGTTAGGAAGTACTTTTGTTGCACACCCAGATATGATGCTGCCTGCGTTGACCCCGATACGAAGTGCCCCACCAACGCTGAGGTCAACATCCAAGTCGTCACCGCCCGCCCGAAGATGCAAGGGGGGGGGAATTAAGTCACCTCCGAAAAGACGCCCTAGCCATTTTTTCGGGGCTCAAAAAAAATAATAAGACCCAGCCTTATTATATGAGAAACACGGTAGCAGTCATAAATCAGCACAAGCTGGTCCTATGTAAATCTGGATCCTCTTCTCTTCCATTTGGTGGTTTGTAAGATGGGCAGATATATAGGTTGCTTACATAAACAAAGTACTTAAATAGTCAGTCTAACTCAAGAAAAATTCTCAGTGAAAAAAAAAAGATTTATGATCTCTTGACTAATTTTAGTCAAAATGTGCATTGGGAAACAGAGTGTTTTCCAAGGCCTTTCACTAGATTTGAAGGATATCAGGATATATATATGAAAATAACCCAGGGATAATAGCAATCAAACATCCAGCAGTCTATCTCACTCTAACGCATTTCACAGATATTTACTCTCCATGACACAAATTGTTTGTTATAGTCCTTGTATTTCACGTAATGCTATCAAAAGTTTGGGCTGTAAGAAAGAACAAACTGGGCTACTTTTCCCAAAGAAATTTGATTTTATATTGCATTTTTGCATTGATTTAGCATCTCTCCCCAGTTGTTTCAGAAGGCTTATTTGCTGAAGGCTAACGGTATGCAGCTTAAATTTATGGTATCTGGAATTCAACATGACAAATGGGCTCAACTAGAAATATGCCCACAATGGATTCCAGCTCTGGATTTTTTTTGGCTTTATGCTGCTTACTGGGGTATGCCATCATTCACAAGTGCCTACTGTACTGCTACTGCACTTCATTACCAATAGACTGCAAGTTATTATATGTTATAATGCTCCAAAGTGTAACATTCTCAGTTTCCAAAATTTGTTAGAGGATTTATTCTTTTTTCCAAGCATAAATGCTGCCCAAACCCTTTAAAAATGGCAACACCTGCTTTGTATTTTGTTACTTATTAAATTTATTTGCTATCTAACTCACCACAAGGGCCCTTTTTACTTTTAACTCTATTAAATTAGAAGTTATGTTTTGTTCATATAGATAAGACAAGGAAAACTTTTACTTGTGTTTACATTAAATGCCATTTT